CTCCAAAATCTACCATGGACTGGGGCACAAAAAAATCTCAACAAGTACCAAAAATTGAAATAATTCCATGCCTCCTACCAGACCAGCTTATAATGAACAGCAAAAGAACCACTAGTCACTACACAAACTTGTGGAGATTAAACAACACACTCCTGAACGATGAGTTGGGCCAAGGAGAAATTAAAAGAAATAAAAGTATTCCTGGAATTCAACAAAAAAAAATAGAACACAACAAAACCTCTGGGACATGCTGAAAGCGGTTCTTAGAGGGAAGTTTATAGCTCTAAGTGCCTACATTTAAAAAAATCAGAAAAAGCACAAAGAAATGACTTAACATTGCAACTCAAGACTCTGGAAAGTCAAAAACAAATGAAACTCAAACCCAGCAAAAAAGAAGAAATAACAAAAACCAGAGCAGAAATTAATGAATAGAAACAAAGAAAACCATACAAAGAAGCAATTAATCTAAGAGCTGGTTCTTTGAAAACATAAACAAGATAGACAGACCCTTAGCCCAGTTAACCAAAAGATAAAGATCCAGAACATTATAAGGGAATATTTTTAAAACCTATGAGCTACTAAATCTGAAAATCTAAAAGAAATAGATGGATATCTAAAATAATGGGAACCACCAAAGTTAAACAAAGAATAGATAAACAGTTTAAACAGACCCATAACATATAAGGAAATAATTGAAACAGTAATACAAAACCTCACCAACAACAAAAAAAAAAAGCCCAGGCCCAGATGGATTTACAGCAGAATTCTACCAGATGTTTAAAGAAGACCTCCAACCAATACTACTTAAATTATTCAAAATGATAGAAACAGAGGGAGAACTCCCAAATTCCTTCTATGAAGCCAGCATCACTCTAATACCAAAATCAGGTAAAGACACAACCAAAAAAGAAAACTATAGTCCCATATCCTTAATGAACATAGATGCAAAAATTGCCAACGAAATACTTGCAAACCATATACAGATGTACATCAAAAAGATCATTCACCATGATCAAGTAGGCTTTATTCCAGAGATGCAGGGGTGGTTCAATATATGCAAGTCAAGAAGTGTCATCTATTACATAAATGGACTCAAAGACAAAAACCACATCATCTCAATAGATGCAGAAAAGGCTTTTGCCAGAATTCAGCATGCATTCATGATAAAAGTTCTAAAGGGAATTGGACTGGAGGG